ACCCTCGCTGTGCATGGAAGCCCTTCCCTCCCTCCATCTCGCCCTTCTGGGAGCCCGTCTGGTACCACCATCCCCATCACCACCGCCATCCGTCACCGAGATTCCTGATTGGTTGTTCCATGGCAACCGCTGCTGCCTCGGGAATCTCTCCTGCTGTTGTACTGCCTGGCCCGTGAGCTGTTCTGTAAATGAGAATTTAAAGCTTCCAAAGGCCTCTCTCTGTCTCTCTCTCTCTCTTTCTCTCCTCCTTCCTGTTTTCTTTTTTTGTCGTCGTTGTTACTGTCGTCGTTGTGGGTTTCTCCTGTGTTTTGCTTTCTTTTTGTCGTCGTCGTTGGTGCGTGCGTGTCTGTATTTCTAGTCGCTAAACGGCATCATCGTTGGGGCAGCGGCTCATGCCCTCTGGAGACCAAACACCCTCGGCAGTGGGCTCCACAGGACATCTGGGGGCGAAGGGGCTAATCATTAGCCGTTACTATTTGGAACGAGAGGAAGCCAACCACCTCGTGGGTTGGTGTCCTGTGCCCACCCACCTCCCGCCCCCATGACTGCAGGCTTTTGCACTCTTTTCTGGCGTCTGACGGATTATCCTAGCAGCAGTCGTGAGCTTTAAAGTGGGGTGAGGAACCCAAGGAGAAGGTGGCCCCAAATACGGATGCAATCAGGGTCAAAACAGGGCTCAGGGGCAGAAGCACAACCCCTGCCCAGTTGCCATTCAGGATCAGAAAGACGCGAGCCAGTTCTCCTCTGCCTCGCATCCTTCCAGGGCCTACCAAGTACGGTGAAATGCACAAAGTTCAGGACAGATTCTTGCCCCCTCCCGTTCTCCAGTGAGACACTGGTAAGTCCTGTCACGTCCCATTGAAGGCTGGGGCTCCGCGGCCCTCGGAGACAAACCAAAAGGGCAGAAGGAGCTACTTGGATGATCCTAAGCGGCTGCCCTGCACCCGGAGGCTCGGCTGCTGGAATCCTGGGGCCTGGAAGAGGAGGGAAGAGGAGGGAAGCGTTAGATGCTCCGCGAGGAAGGAGCCCGGCAGCCCACACGGATCCCCGTCCACCCCAGCCCCCTGCTCTGCAAACGCACCCGGCTCCCTTTCCGTCGCGGCCGCTAACAGCCCGAGCGAGCCTCACCCAAGCCGGGCAGGAACAGGGGCAGGTGCGGAACCAACTTGGGGGACAGATGCTGGACCCAGGATTCCAGTCAAACCGGCCCCCCGTCTCTGCATGTCTTAGGCTCCCAAGCACCTCCCAGTCTGTCGCCCACCAGAGAAGGCCCCACTGGAAAGAGAGCGCGCTAACATCTTGCTGTTCTGTTCCCCCCTCCCCACCCTTGTCCTCCTCCTGTATGTTTCTGTAGGCCTGGAGCTCAATGGAGAGGCACCCCCCCCCATTTTCTTGCCCTTCCTATTCCCTCCCCCTCTCCCTCTGCTCTTCTCCCTCCTCAGAGATCACAGAAAGCTGCTCTCTCCCCAGAGCCCAAGGGGCCCGACTCTCCTTGCTGGCTCGAACCGGAAGGCTCCTCCGCTCTGCCGTGCCATCGACGCCTCCTCGAGGACGGACGCTCTCAGACACGCTTACCACACCCTCTTATGCACCCCCTGCGCCCCGGAGCCAAGCATGGTTCAGGTGCCCAGCAGCGTCCCCAGCACAGGAAAATCCTTTAGTGGCAGAAGCTCGGACTGCAGGACGGGAGGTGGGGAGCAGGAGACCCCTGGGACGCAGCCGCTTGGGCCGGACTTCCTGGAAGGACGGACTTGGGAGTAATCCTGAGAGGGGCCCGATCCCCACCCGGGTGCTTCTCCTTGCCCTCCCCCTCCCCCCGCTACCTGTGTGCACCCTTGGACGTACAATCACAGCAGCACAACACCCCCACCCCCCCTCCCCACTTTTGGGGTGGTGAGAGGTTTTGGACACGGCGTATGCCCCCCGGCAGGTCTTTCCACTGGCCCAGCCGGCTTCTGCCAGCAGCGTGACCTCCTTCCAGCCACCCAAGGGCGAGTCAAGGGGGTGCTGCTGGGCTGGAGGGATGCCGCCTGCCATCTTGTGGGACCCAAGACAGAGAAAAACGAGAGGAGACCGAGTCCGAGCAACTGGAGGTGGGGTGGGGAGGAGGGGGAACGAGCTGCAGGCTTTCCAATTTTCACCTTTTTTCCTTCTCATTCCCTGGCGCTGCGGCTCCAGGGACGTGCTCCCCAGGTTGGCATTTTTATTCCTCTCCCCTGGTAAGACCTCCCATATTGTTAACGCTTCCCAGACCTCTGAGCTCAGGGGGACACTTCCCTTTTGGACCCCAAAAAGTTTACTTTGGGAGCTGGGAAAACCCGGGCCAGTGACTCATACAGGGGTGCAGCAGGTGGGCAGGACCCATTCGCCACTGGCCCATTGGATCGCGCAACCGCCGGGCAGGTTTTTTTCCTAGCCTGGTGACGCATCACCTGCTGGGCTCCGTTCCAGCTTCGTGGCTGCTAAGGGCACAGGGGCCCTGGTGGGAAAAGCCGCTTAGCCGCGACCCGGCAGCTGCGTTCACCCCGCCCTCCACGCCAGCCTGCCCCGATCCTGCCCCCCCCGGCCCGAAGGCTTGAGAAGGGCATGAAACGAAACGTCCTTCCCCGAGAAAAGGAGCCCCTTCTCCTGTGGTTTGCGGCTTCTTGACGTGCTCGTGAGCCGGAAGTGGTCCTAGAGACAGACTGGGGCGGAGACGTATGCTGCTTGTATCACTTTAAAGGTCTCCCCCATTCCCCCTCCGCGCCACTCTGCTGCGAATTAAGAAACAAACCCCGGCCGCGTATCAGTCAGACGGACAGGAAGGGATGGGGCAGCCAAACTGGACAGGCGTTTTCCGCCCACCGCGGCAAGTAACCTGCTCGGGGCTCCCGGGCTATGACAGGCGTGGTGAAGGCTCCGATTTCCCAGGCCCAGAGGGGGACCCGGCAGACGCCGGAGCCAGCCAGAACCTGGATCAGGAGGCCACGTGGGTGCCAAGCCGAGTCTGGAGTCCCCCGCACCCCTCCTGGCCCTGTGACGACCAGCAGATGCCACAACCGGGGCACAGAGGGAAGGCTGCCAGCCACGGCACTCGGGACCAGTGCCGGACCAGAGCAGCTCCCAGCCGGCGGGTCGTGCCAGCAGCATCACGAGCGCGCCAGGAACACGCCGCCATCCCTCTCCCCTCTCCTGCCAAGCCGTGGCCGACTTCTGCTCACAACATCCCTCCCAAGACAGGAAGAGCCCGAAGACAGACGCTGCCTCAGGAGCAGCTTTTGGCCGGCTGGCAAAAAGGCCAACTTTGAAATCCAGAACGTGTCCCTCTCTCCAGCACCTGAGCCAGCCAAGAGTCGCCACTGACCTTCCTAGCATCCACAAAAGACTTTGGCCGTTGGTCTGAGCCCACGTTGGCCAATGCATTTCAGGACCTCCTATTTTCCACTGCCCCCACCCCGTTGCTGGGGGGGGGCTCCCTTTGGAAATGCTCCTTCCCCCCCCCCCATCCCCTCAACCCCCGTTTCCTGAGGCTCCGGCTGGCCTCCCTCTCGACCGCTGCCAAATTCTGGACGACGAGGCTCAGAAACGCAACCAGCTCCACTCCGGAGAGCTGACGCTTTTGCTCACCTCCCGCAGCCCATCTGCTCCATCCCTTTTTGTGGGATGGAGAAATAAGAGAGGTGGAGAACAGTGACCCAAGTGCAAGGAAATTGGGGAGAGGGGGGGTGTTAAATCTCATGTTTCCCAGGAAAACCTCATGTGCCAGAAGAGAACCAACTGAAATGTGCAGTTCTGTAGACCCGACGGTCCAACGTTGCTCAGATGCTGTTGGGACCTGACTTGTGTTGGTGGAGTGTTAAAACTTCAGAATGGACTCTACACTTAGACAGGGCAGAACGAGGCTGCTTACCAAAGCTGGATATTAGGAAGCTGGGTGTCCCTTCCTCCATATCCACTCTCTGTACTGTGCAGAAAGTCCTCTGACTCCCCCAAAGAAGCGGAGGAGATTCCCCCTCCCCGTGCCCCGGCCCCACATCTTTCCTGCTCTGCCTCTGCCCCCTCCCTGGTTGCACACAGGCCCCCAGCGCCCCCCTGAACCGCCTGGTGTGCGTCGGATCACTCCTGCAAGCCCCGAGCGGATGGCCCGGTCCGCGCGGACTCTTTTCCCGCCCTGGGAGGAGGGCTTCCGCTGCCCCCGGCCCCACCCCCAGCCCTTAGGACCACATGTATCTTGACCACATCCCCACATACGGCCAATCGTGGGGTGGGGAACTAAAAAAGTTAAGATGCCCGTGCTCAGAACTCACGCCTGCGGGCGCGTGGAAATCAAGTTTCTACCATAAGGAAGGAAAGAGAAGAAAATATGTTTACAGCCTCTTTTGCTGATTGAGTAATTGTAAATAATTCCATTGCAATTAGCTGCAATTTAATTTCAAAAAAGGGGGTTCAATCCATTCCCATTTTACCTTTTCTGATTTTAGAAGATTTTTAAAAAACTCTCTCTCTCTCTCTCTCTCTCTCTCTCTCTCTCTCTCTCTCTCGTCTCCCCCCTTTTCCTTTTATTTTCTCTTCTAGGGTGGGAGGTGGGTTTAACTACTCAGTCATTTTATTTAGAAGGACAAACGGGAAAGTGGGGCGGGGGGGGAGAACCAGATCAGATGAACTTTTAGTGAATGGGGATACGAAAAAATGAAGAGTTGGATTATATGTTTCAGACAATATCAATGCTTAAGTTATTGATTATTTATTGCTGTTTACTTTTAATAATTTAATTTTTTCTGTCTAAATAAAAGAAATGAAAAGCAAATGCAATCTATTATATGTTGGCATCAAGGATTGTGTAAGATGAATGTGGGTGATCTGACTTTTCATTTCTTCTTGTCCTCCTGGGAGGGCAAGACTCCAGTATTACATTTATAGCCTTAGAAGGGAACGTGACTTGGCCTTTCTGAGGGCGAATCCTGGTGCCATTCCGGGGAAGGCTACACATTTGAAACCTGCCACCGGCAAAATGAAAAAGTTCTTGTATTTAGCACCACCTTTAGCAGGATTTGGTCAATATACCCAGAATTGCACACATCTAAAAATTCATAGGTGGTGGTCGCGCTTTCTTGGAAGGGAAAGAGCTGCATTTGTGTGTAGAACACAACGGAAACGTGTTCAAAATGATTCTTCTTTGTCTGTCTTCGCATTGGAAAGGGCTTCAGGCGCCTTCCTGCATTTTCTCCCGAGAGCGTTCCTGTGAAAGGCCACCGAGGCTGTTTTCATTTCCCATTCTGGGGAAACAGGTTGAGAGGGACCGTGCCCAGGCCCAGGCCAGATTGGGGCATCTGGCCATGTTCCACACGGGAAGGACCGTGCTTTTTCAAGAGGTGCACCTGAGTAGCGTTTCCTTTGTCCTCCAGAATCCCCAAGCACTCCCAGTTCTGCATTTGTTGCTGCAAAGTGATATTGGAATTCATGACGCTTATTTATTTAATGTTTGTATTTACAAGCTGCCAAGTAGTCCAAAAAGACAACAACGAATCACCTTGTTTTAAACAAGTTTAAAATGCAGCTTAGGGCGTTTGGGCGGGGAGCAAGAGAAGCAGGTGGATCTGCAGGAGAGTTTGTGCCTGGCAGCTTTGGGATGCGAGGGATGGAGAGAAGGGTGCCCACCTGTCATCCGGAACAGCGTGTGGACCAGCGGGGGCATTCGGGGTGAGCCAGGTGATACTGCCAAATGCCGCAGGGGTGGAAGCCCATCTGTTAAGCCTTGGAGGAAGTTTCCCCAAAAACACCCATCCTCTTGGGAAAGGCTCCCCCGGAGCGACTTCCGGAAGCAAGATGCTAGCCTGCCCCAGCACCCGCCATCTTGCAGACGCGGGAGTCTGCGGCGAGAGCATCACAGGAAGTCCTTCGTGATGGCCTCCACAAAGTTGGGTGCGGCCATGAGGATGCTGATGGAGCAGACCATGTGGACGAGGGCAAAGGTGACCAGGCAGAGCCGGTCGACGACGGCAGCCACAAACTTCCACTGGCTGCAGGCAGCCCGCGCGGCGTCCCGGCCCCGGAAACAGCGAGCGACATAGCGCAGCTCCTCCAGGATGCGGCTCAGCTCCGGGGCGGGGAGCAGCTCTTCGGGGGTGGAGGCCGGCGGCTCCGGCGACGGGAGGAAAGGCCGTGGCACGTCGGGGGGCTTGACGGGGAACAGCACCAGGGGGACGCCCAGGTACGCGAGGCCGCCGTTCGCGGCCGCGACCGCTGGCGGGGCCAGCCGGGTCGGCGAGCCGCTGCCTTCGCTGTTTTCCGAACTGCAGCTCAGCAGGCTGGGGGCACGGCGTGGCCGCCCCGCCGGCTCCTCTCCCCGTGGGCGCATGCGCAGCAGCCAGGCACCCCAGTGCAGCACGAGCACCTGCACCTGTGTGGAGATGGGCAGGTGAGCAGGAGGGAGGCGGGGGGGGGGGGCCGCCAGCAGGAACGGGGGAGCGGCCTCCCGTGGGCCTTCTTCGCTCCTCGGCCTGCTGGGCATGACCCAGTCTGGGGTGTCACGCTGCCCGAATCTAAGCGCACCGTTTGGAGAAGCGGCAGGGACTGGCTGGGGCTGCCCAGCCCGTGGACCTGCAGCCAAAGGCTAACATGCAAGGCCAGGTACAACGCCCAGTGGGAACGCTTCTCTTCCAGGTATTTTCTGGCAGTTATTTTCCAATGCCGTCGATTTTTTTGAATCGCTCCGAAACCAAACCCCAGAGGTGAGTGTCAACCACTGGAAAGTAGGCAGGATCAAAACGTTCCAGAAGCTGCAGTATGTCAGCAGCTGGGAGAGACAAGCGGGAAAGCTGAGGGAGGCAGCGCAGAGGGGGAAGTCCTGCTGGGGAAAGCTACGCCAGGGCCCTGAACAGGCACGCTCGGGCTAGGAGGCGAGGCCCGCTGCAGCACCCTGTTGCAGGTCGTTCCCCCCCGCCCCAAAACATTGACATCCTGCCCCATCAGGAAAGCTTCCATCGTAGAAATAATCAGCTTTGAAAAACATCTACACTCAAGTAACAAAGCCATCTAAATGGACATGGATGCATCCTATTCTCCGGACAGGGAGCAAAAGTTTCTCATCTGCCACTTCGTCGGCGTATTCTAAGAGACGTTTCCACAGGAATGTTTTCAGTGGAACAGGACGGAGTAGCCGCCAGTGCTTCACACCTGCCCCCTTGGCTTAGCTTCTCAGCAGAAGGCCCCGAATGGGAGCAGGGATGAAGAACAAGCGCCAGATTTGCACCCGATTCTAAAAGCTCCCCGCCCACCACCCTGACGCAGCGAGGTTTGGACATCAAAGCTCTCCCCCGGACCCAGTGAAGAGCCAGAACGCACAACACACCCCACAACAGTTCCTGGGCCATCACAACTGAGCACCCCATCGCCCAGCCAGGCCACCATCACACAAACTAGGGGTGTAAACATTGGACTGGGCTGCAAGACAAGGTAAGTGACGCCCCAGCATCAAGAGCACACCCCGCTCAAACTGCTGGCCCTTCAAAGGGCCAGGCAAATAAAGGCCACTTCTGGCAGCTGCCAGGTGGACAGCGAGACGGCTCTGTCTTGGTTCACTGTCGGACCAACCCCTTGGCCAGTGGGGGGAGCAGAAAGAGGGCTCCTCCGTCACCCAGACAAGGCAGGTGCCCACCGGGGGCAGGCAGTCCTTGGAATTCCCTGTGCGAGAACTCTGCACGCGTATCCAATGCCAAGCACACTTGGGTGGAAGTGAGCCCTTCTCTCTCCAGGAAATACCAGCATTTGTCACTGACTGTTAAGCTATGCTGCCACTTTAAAGGCGCAAATGCCCCATGGAGTTTATGATCTAGATTTAGAGAAGGGGCAGGCCATGCCGGGTCCACAGGAACTGACGTGCTCCCAGACCCCTTCCTGTTTCTTGGAATGAACACTCGCTGGCAGCCGACAAACAGCTTCCTGCCGGTGCTGAAAACTGCCAGATCAAAGCAGCTGTTTAGTGTCTACCTCTACTTGGTAGCTCAGTCTCTTGGGGTGGGAAGATCCGCAGGGAATGGGAAAATTGCATCCTCAACTTCTCATCGCACGGGGCTTTCAGAGGGGCTTCGAAATTCAATTTAAACCCATAAAAACGACAACATTGAAACTGCACACAAACTGCAGATGCTGCCAGAGGGAGCGGAAGGCAACAACCCAGGCAGAGTCGCTTGACGGCAAGTCGCACAGAGCGCAGCAGCGCTGCATGTCAAACACTCTGCCTGGCATCTAAAGGGGTGTTTTATATTTATAGAAGCGGCCTTTACCCACATTGCAAGAGATGCCCAAAGGGCAGGCCACCCAAAATATTCCATATATAAAATCATACATGATACTTTAAAAGATGGGGTAGTCAGACTACATGCGAGGAGTATGATGAACACAGTTCTTCCTCCTTCCTCCCTTCCTGGAGCCTAAATATTGCTAAAGACCTGTAAAATGATTAAGGTGCGTAAAATTATGCATGGTGTGGAACAGAGGGAGAGTTGTTCTCCCTGTCTTACCACAGCAGAACCCCAAAGTGTTCTGGAACCCCATCATGGGATTCAGGACTGCTCCAAGGAAGTCCATCCCACAGCGAAGGTTCAAGTACGGAATCCACTACTGCAAGACGTGGCTTGGACACATTTGTAAGAAGGCTGAAAACGGCTACCGGTCACAACAGCTCTGCATTATCTATGCTCGCCAACGAAACAGAGCAAGGATTTCACGAGGGAACGGAAACTCACCCATCTTGGCATGCAGCCGCCGTCAGGGTCGTGGTGATGATACTGGAGCACAAAGACTGTGGCTGCCACAGACGAGCCCACCATGCCCATCGTGGTGGCAAAATATTGCCCTGCAGGGGAAGCAGACGTGAAGGGCTGGATTTGGCAGGTCAGGCTGGATTTGGCAGCTGCGCCCTGGCAATTATCGGCATGGCATTCCTCGGCCCCTTTCTACAAGGAGAAGCGGCCCACGCAGGCCAGATAAATCCGTGGAAGGAAACCCTACTGGTGAAGAGCAGCCAGAAAGGCAAATGGGGCCTCCATGTACAGGTGCAGTCTACCCCACGGGACAAGTGCCAAGGTGCGTGACAGGGCAGAGGGTGGGTCTGATGAATGTCTGGCTAGTTGCAGGGCCACTGGAGACCCAAAGCCTTCTCAACACCAACCAGCAGAATTGCAAAGTTCCTCTAGCTGGACTACACAACTTTGGGCCAGGTGGATGAGCAAACTGCATGCCTGAATTTCTGCAGCGTTTTCAACGAGAACAGGGCTGGGAGAAGTTCTAGACCTCGGTGCATTCAATACATAGCAGGAGTGCCTCTGAACAGGCGTATGGGCTGCACCCGTCCCGCTGGCTGCGCAAGCCCCTCTCCGGATCGCGCCCCACACACAGGGCCTTGCCCCCACATACCTATGAGCGGAACGGAGTCTGAGGTGGCGGGCATGACTTCGGCCACAAGCAGCATGAGGACCGTGAGCGAGAGGAGGACAGTGATGCCTGCAATGGAAAGTGGGGGCTGGTTACAGGTGGCTATCCCACAGGTTTTGGAGGTGCATTTCAGAGGCCGAGGCGCAAAGCCAAAAGCCACACACATGAGCTCCCGGCCCTCTGAGGCATATTCCACCCTATCCACTACTTTCAGGTTTATGTTTCTAGTCCCTGTCAAATTATGAAATGACTGGAGAAAAACAGACAGAAAAACAGCATCTGGCTCAACAGCTCAAAGTGAGATCGACACTGAGCCCGTGCTTTAGCATTCTGCAGGGGACTCACTACACGGGCAGAGGGTTCAAAGCACCCTTTTAAAAAACGCAACTGGAGTGTTACGCTGATTATTATGTCATGATTCTAAATTAAAATGTTTCCTGTGAACATAGAAAGGTATTTGTGGTTAGGCTTTTGCTCTGCCAGAATAAGCTCAGGTGCCTTTTGCTGCCTCTGGCTCGGGCCACAACAGGAAACAGACGGCTCTGCAAACCCACCCATGTCTTCAACATTAACTTCCCCTCGGCTCCACCAGCTGCCCTCCTCCTCCTCCTCCTCCTCCCCCCCCCACTCACCCCCACATTCCCTGCCAGTGTGACTTACCCAAAGAAATCTTCTCTCCGGAGTCAGCTGGCAAAAGAAATACAAGGAACGCCATTGCAGAGAGAAGCAAGCAAGGAACCAGCATGTTGAGGGTATAATAGAGTGTCCGTCGGCGCATGGTCACCACGAAGGTGACATCCAGGTAGGGCTCCTGGCAACATTCGTAAAAAACTTTGTTCTCGCTGCCAGGTACGCCTGTGTGGTGAGAGAAGAGGAAAGCAGGTGTCAACACGGGGGGCGTGGGGGCCCCGAAAAAAAGATTCCAGACCCTGAAAATGGAAACCAGTCACTCATTTTTGCACTCAGTTAACGCCCCATTTTCTGGCTGCTCTGTTAACCAGAGCGCATCCAAATGCTGGTTTGATTCACTGTGGTGGAAGTGATAACACTTTGAACATTCACTTGTTCGTGCAAGTCAGTGGAAGCACAGGCCTGAACGTGTGTTTGCGCACACACGCAGTTCTGCAAGCACTATTTTGGTTCAAGGGAAAGCATGGAGCTGAGAGGAGAACGGGGGCCCATGGCGTCTCTAGTGTTACGAGGCAGGTCAGGGGGTCTCCCTTACCCATGAGGTCCCACTCTCCATTGGCAACGTAGCCAGAGGTGTCCATCTCCAGCATACGGAGGTTGAGTAGCCAGCCGTCATAGGTCCAAGAGCCGAATTTGAGATCGCACTTCTGGGTGTCGAAGGGAAACCAGCGGACATCGATCCGGCAGGTGCTTTTCAAGATGCCTGGATGGGGCAGAGGAGGAGGGGGAAAGCTGGCTGCTGCAGACCAAGCCAGGGGAAGCTGACGGATCATCCCATGGGCTGTGTGAGCCGGGAAGAATGCAAACTGCAGCCCGGCATGTCTTGGGGGGGAGGCGAACACAAGAGGCCTTTTTAGACCAACTGTCAGTAGAGGGGACTCTTCATTAAGAACGGACTTGTCTGCACTGCCGTCCAATCGGTGCAGCAGGGAAAGCGTTTCGTATCCGTATCATGCCGGCCAGTGTTCCAACAACCCTGCAAGATAGGCCTGCACTGACGCTGGGGAGGAGGCGGAAGCCCCGGGAACACAGAGAGGCCCAAGGCCAGCCTGCAAGCCTGTGGCCAGAAGGGGCAGGGCAGGGCAGGCCTAGCCAGAACCCTGCCAGTGCCTGGGCCTGGCCTTCCCCAGCTCCGGAGTTGCAGGACTGCCCAGCCAAGCAGCGGCGCCTGGCGTGGGAGCAGACCAGGGTCTCCAAACCATCCCTGGGCGCAGGGACACCCTGCACTAGTCCAAGGCCCTGGGCTCGCGGCAGATTTAAGCCAGAAAGCCATGCACTTGCCCTGTCCAAGTGTTTTGGTGGGGCCACTCTAGTTAGTCCCCGCCACCACTCCGTAAGGCTGGGGGGGCCCTCGATCCACTTGCACAGCCATGTCCCACCCTGGCCGGTTACCAGGGGCCTGCCTGCCTCTCACCTGGGGGCAGCCACTGGCAATAGCCGCTGGAGTTGACCAAGACGTGGGTGTGGAAGGTGGAGTCAAAGTCTTCGTTGGCACTGGAAGGAAAGATGGCGCCGGGAAGAGAAGAGGTCTAGTCACAGTGATCTAACGTCAGGCTCTGGAGGCTTGTGCAACCACCGAGCCAGCAGCAGAAGCCGAGCAGCCAGACTTGGGCCTGGGGTTCTCCAGCACCACTCGAAGCCACCGCGGGCCGAGAGGGCCTTGCGAGAGACCAGCCCTGGGCTCAAGAGGGAGGCTGGGGCTGAGCCCGCGGTTCCTCCACCCCTCGCCCAGCCCTCCAGTCCCACCTGCCATTCAGCCCACAGCTTGGCTCCTGCGAGTTCCCCGTCACATTTTACTATGCCAGGGATAAATCCCGGTCATGGAAAGCCACCGCTCCATTTCGCCCTCACCTGTTGTATAAAAGGATGTCCGGGGTCCACACCTGGTCAGCAGAGAACCGGAGAGTTTTGACGCCGGGGTATTCCGACTCGTTCCATCGCAGGTAATGATCATACCAGTACTGGGGGAAGAAAGAGGGGCATCCAAGGAACCACTACAACTCAACCCGTGCCAATCGTACAGGTGTGTCTGGAAAATCTGCCCTTCCACCATCCTTAAATCATGGCCTTACCATCTGCAACCAAACGTTGGTGGTCAAAACTTGGTTTTTCTCATCCTGCAAAAGAAAAGTGGAAAAGACTGAAGGACTGGAGGAGACGGAAGCTACACACTTCCAGAGAGAGAGAGTGAGTAATGGAGAAGAGCCCTCCACTGAAAACTGCTCTGATTCAGCACTGGGAACGCCCTTCTGGCTTCCCAAGACTCCAGCTCCAGCCAGATTTAACAGAGGAGTGTTGGCTGTAAAAAGAGACGATGAAGGCGAGTGCAAATCCAGACCTCAGCATGGGATGGAGTTCCTTGGCTTTTCTGCTTCCTTGCACCCCGCCCTCCATGCCTCGCCCCACTCCAGCAGCTCACCATGTCCAGGATCTGCAAGAGGCTGAGCGTGAAGTGAATGGTGATGGGCTGCGCGTCGTCCCCCACCGGCCTTTCCAGCGGCGTGTAGTCCTCCATCAACTCCTTCAGCAGCTGCCGCTGATGGACCCCTCCCCGAGAGCCTGCAAAGGGATCCACGGCTCAGTCACTCCAGAAACCTCAGTGCCGGGTTCATGTGTGGGCGCCAGCCTCCAAGCCTGGGGCTTGCCTGGAGGCCTCGGTAGCCCGAAGAGTGACCAAAACACCTTTAGGCTATGTCTGAGCTGGGAAAACCGAAACTTGAGAAAGACCTCTTCAGTGAAAATGGCTGAAGTGGGAGGAACGGACTCGAGGGAGGGAAAAACCGAGGAACCAGACACTTCAGGAATGGTAACACCGTCACGGTCAAAGACGTGTCACGCTCTTTTCTGCAAGGATCACTGCCTTGGAGGAACCACCGTCTGCTGCTGAAGGGTGTTCCCCAGTGCGGAGCTCTCCAGGTGTACTCAAATCCCATCATTCCTGGGAGTCGTGGGAGTTGCAGTCAAGCAAGCCTGGAGGGTCCCAGTCTGGGGGAAGACGGCCATATTCCGCCACCTTTATGCTCTGTGCAGCGATTCCCCTGCTTGTATGTGCCTAAAGGCCGAGAGGAGCTTCGATCGGGTCTTGTTCAAGATTCATCTCTGGCGAGTTCATGGGTCCGGCGAAGCCCACCCTGCAGGCGAGCCACAGGGGGCTGCTTGTTCACTGCACAACCCACAGTGCTCCCAACACACAACTGGGCTCATCGTGGGTTGTTCTCCCCCTCAGACCCAAAGCCGGTTCCGGTACGAATCACCTCCCGGTGTCTTTTCCGGTACCCCTTTTTGGTCATTTCCAGTGTTATTCTTGGAGCTTCCAGACAGTGCAGGAGGGCTGTGGCTCCTGAAAATGGCACCTGCAATGCGCGGCTTCTGTTTCGCAGGCCCGTTGCAAGCGCTGCAAGCCCCCTGCCACGTCCTCGCTTGGCGCAAGGCCGTCCAGTCAAAGGCTGAAGCGCATGCAGGCCAACCCACGGTGGCCAGAAACCCAAGGCTTGGCTGTCAGCGGAAAAGCGCATGAAGGGCGAAACAGCAGCAAGAGGGGCAGCACCAAAAGGTGGGTACATCCCCCCCCCCCCCGCTTGCAATGTACACCTTTCCGTTTTAAGTGCTGAACTGGCCTGTTTTGGTGGCTTCCACTTTTTCAACCCATCCCTGCCTCTCCAGCTACTCCAGAAAGGTGAGATATTAACTCCTGCTACTTTCCAGGGCATTTACTGCTGCTGTCAAGTTTCCCCTCCGTTTTACTTCCAGCCATCGAGCGTGCAGAGGTATCTTCGGCTTCTTTACAGCAATTGAGGAGTCGGGATGATGGCAGCAGGAGGTGCTTCGAAAAGGAGGCACAGAAAGAGTGAGAGGGAGGACCTGAACAAAATATATTTTTTAAAGCCAAGGAATGAAACGGGGGAAGGGAGGACCTTGATCAACTCCGCGGGAAGAGGCACCCGTCAGCCATGTGGTATCGCTGCTGCTGACCATTTTTTGTTCTCAGGTTGGGAAGAGGAACTGGCGTGTTCCTGACCAGGACGGGGCAACTTTGGAAGCCCGCAGAGGCCTATTCAGGGCCTGCACGCAGCCACAGACAAGCGGCCCAAGAGCTTTCTTCTGCTTGCTTATGCTCTGCGCCCATATTCCCATCCCGGTACTCAGTCAAGAGCACATTCTCCTTGAGCATCCTCGAATCCAAAGTGAGGCATCGTCACTGGACCAGGCCCCCAAGAGTTAATGCAGCCAGTGATTCGGGAGGCTTTAAAGCAGAATCAAGCCATTCAGGCACAAAGAGATGGAGGCTTGCTAAATGGCCTCCTTGCCTACTTTCGCCTCTCCGATCCTAGGGAAGAAACCAGGTTTGCTCAGAACAGAAGGGGCATCCGCCGCCCGGGCCCACCTGGCTTCATCCCTCCCCAGCGTTCCAGGCAAGGCTCTTTCCAAGCCCCGCACGGAGAAGCAGGGAACTGGGTGGATCTTTGGCGTACCGAGCAGGGGCTCTGCCACATGGCTTTAGGGCCCTTCCACGCACAAAAATTCTAATCCACCGGGCTCTGAGTAAGCGGCGGATTTAAGTCAGCATATGGCGAGTCCACCCGTTGGTCCACTCGGCACAGCATTGCCTGCCTCGACGGGCAGGGATCGGGGCCTGCACCAGGGCATTTTGCAGGCAGAGCGGCCACTCTGTCGCTCGGCTGTGGCCCTTCTCCTGGGGTGCCGCATCCGCTCCTGGAAACAGAGGGTTGGTTTAGGCAGGCTGACCTAGCAATTTCCAGCACTGAAGAACACCACAGCACTTTCTGAAGAAGTTTGATCTGTCTCGATGGGCTTGGGGCAGGAGAGACTCTGACTGAACCATCTTTCTGAAAACTACAAGGAGGGTTTCAGAGGAGGGGCAGCGTGTGGACCCTAAAAACCAAACCACCACCCCTGCTAGACCAGAAAAAATGGCTCCGCCTAGCCCAGCACCTTGCTTCCGACAGTTGGCAGCTACACTAAGGACCTGAAGGCAACTGAGCCCCCATGGATGGCCTCCAGCACCTGCTATGCAGAGGTACAGTGCCCCTGGACAAGGAGGCTCTACCGAGCTGCCATGGCCAGACCTCACCCCTTTTGTATTCGTCACAAATGTATCCACTCCCCCCACTTTTAAAGTTATCTAAGCCCGCTCCCCCCCCCCCCCCCACAGTAGCTCGCGGCAACTCCCAATGCCTTGGATGAACAAAAGCCGCCTTTTGTCTGTACCAAATCTGCTCCCGACCCATCGCAACTCAAGCTGATGTATCAGGGGAGCTAGAAGGGGGCAGGGAAAATGTCCATTTCCTTCCCTCCCCCACACAGATTTCTGCTAATTCCTTCTCTCCACTTGTGTGCTCCATTTACAGCCTGAATACATGGAGAACAGGGGAGGGGGAAGAGAACAGAGTGAGATAGTCCCTTTTAACTTGAGACCCTAAATGAAATTGACAAGGCAGCGAGTCCTCTCCTGTCTTCCGCAGAAAGAGATGCTATATAGAAAAATTAACCTAGCAAGCGTGAAATACCTTTACTGTGGCAGCCGGAGAGAGAGAAGGAGGGAGGGAGGGAGGGAACCAGTCAAATTTGCTTGCCTTCCTGCAAAGCGTAAAGAAAGGAGACGAGAAACACACCAACAAATGCCCCCCAAACACCCAGCTGGGGTGACAAATCTCATCTTTCTTGCACATTCCAGGACAGGGAAAGAGGGCTTCATCTGGACAAGTGTGAATCCTGTCGCACAAAGTCAGAGATATTATCCCAGCACCTCAGGAGATAAAAGGAAGTACCTACCCCTGCAAAGGATCTGTTAATTACTATGGGGGGGGGGATGCTCTCATGTTAAACCAGCTGAATCCAGCACAACCTTTGCTCTTGTCCCCTCACCTTGCCCACCCCAAAAGTCCACCCCAAAATAACAGGACGCGATTCACCATCTGTGCAGCTTTCTTATTATCGATTTCTGATTTCTGAAACGCTGCTAGGACATGTTTTGTGCCACCCGAGAGGAGAAAGGGTAGTTTGTGTGAAGGAAAGAGATTTCAGAACAAGAAGAATAGAGCAGAGGAAGGAAGGAAGTTACCTTGGAAGAGAAGGGAGATGCTGAAGCCAAAAATCCAAGCAGACAGTTCCATCGCTGCAAGAAAAGGCACACGAGCCCACGTCTGGAGCCAACTAGTCCGCTCTCTTCATCATGCTCTGGACTGGCGTACGAAGGATGCGCAGCAGCAGCAGGAATCCTTATTTAGAAGAGAAAAGGTTTGGGGGGAGGAAGAGGATGGAGGGGAGAAGGCAACATCAGTGCCTCCTGAGCAGTTTGCTGCCGGAGGCTTTAAAAGCATCGCAAGCTCCTTAGCACTAACGGGACTCGGAAAAAGCAGTGGTTTCGTCATATCGTTCTCGCTCGCTCTCTGTTTAAAACCCCATTAGTGATTAGAGAAAGTTGAAACAATAGGATAGATGAACGAGCTTAGAAAGCCAGGATGAGTACAGATCATGAGCAGTCCTGCACATGTTCACGGATAACTAAGTCCTGCTGAGTTCAAAGGAGCCGATCCCCAAGTAAACATGCTTAACTCAGAGAAATTGTGGGTGGATGGCGACAGAGGAATTCAGCGTTCTGCTCAGGCGTATGAACAGACAGGTTAGATAAACCAGGTCAAGCGAACAGATGTTGGCTTGGCTCACAAACAGAAGGCAAAATTGTCTTTCCCCCTCTGAAGATCAGACGCATATCAGAGCGATGTCCCCGCTGTATGTGATTAGGTATAATCCTCCCCTCGCAGGCTTGAAGCTCAGGACCTCTCATTTTAGCGAGTGAGTCCCGGAAGACGATCTAATAATTAACGAGTCCTGAAAGGCTGGTTGCCCCCGAGCACCCATGGCCGGCCCTCTCCAGGTCCTCTTGCCAGCAAGAGCTTCCTCCTAATTTGAAACTTCCCCTCCTATCAGGTAAGCTTATCAAATCCAATTTTTCCCTCTGGGAAAAAGAGGACAACTCTTAGTCTTCTCGTGGTATTTGCAGAAATCAGGCCCCCCGGCCCAATGGAGTTGTCTCTTCTCCAGGCTTCAACTTTCCCCTTTTCATTCTTCTTTGCTGCCCTCTGAACCAGTTCGTTTGTCTACACCTTCCTCATCTGCTTTCCACAGGGAGAGGACCACAAGAACTTGTCAGTAAAATGCCGGACAGAAGTCCAGAATATGTGTTTGATCTCCATGCCTCTTCAGATGGCTTTGTGTCATGCGAGTCTGGAGTTCCTTCCTGAAGCAGTCAAGAAATGAAGACTTGGGTTTCTAAACAGCATGATTGTTTCTTGCAATTGATGCTGAAATGCTGGTGCATTAAGGCACTTCTGCTGTGCTCTTGCAGTATTCCTACCTTCTGTAACACCTCTTCCTCAGAAGGAGCAGGGCTGTGGCTACAGATCTGTAAGAGAAATGTAGAAATGTTCAGGGGCTCCCTTTTCTTTTCCTTGGCAATCCTGGCAGATAAGGGATGGGCTGTCAGAAGTCAGGTGGTGAACTAAGAAGGCCTGAGGGATTCTGGACGCACAAGTATCCCTGTCCTAGGCAGCACCCGAAGACCTGCCTGGCTTGGCTGTAAGGCCAGTCAGAAGGACTCCCAGGCGCAATAGGCAGCAGAGTCCCTCTCCCAACTCCTCTCCCTTCTGGCTCGCAGCTTCCGTCCCACCTTCCAAGCTGCTGCAGTAGCTCTCCTGTGCGCCACTGCAAGACAACGGCTTCCCGTTCTTTACAGCTTCGCTCTGCAGTGTGCAAGGGCCACCTCCAGGCCCAGAAATGCAGGGAGAGCAGTAAATCGGACCTGCCACGCAAACCACCTCAGATCCCCATTGGAGCCAAAGCTCCAATGGAAATTAGGCTCTTGGCACAAGAGGGGGTAAATTCCGAGCGAAGACTCTGCCCACGGTGCGCTGGAAATTAAAGAGAAAGGCCTCGGCTTATTTTGCCATCAGAAACTTGTCATCCCAGGCACGAGCAAGAACTGCACTTTAGCTCACCAGTCGGGGCTTCAGGCTGGGCCCGACTCTGCGGTCCAAGATTCCCTCCAACCTTGGGCAAATCTCTTACCCACCTCAAAAGGTTTTTGCAGCACCAAAAACTGGCCTGGCAGTGAACTCTTTGAGGAAGGGGTGTCAGCTATGCTGGCTCCAGCCTGGCTTTTCCCACCTGCAGAAGCTCAGAGAAAGTGAAGGGTGTTCCAGGGTCTTCAGGCTGGTATTAAGTGGCCTAGAAAGGCTTCTGGAGAAACTTCTGGTGGCAAAGGAAGCACATTCAGCTTGAGGATAAACTGTAGACTAGAAGGAAAGAGGGCTAGGCTAGCCCACAAGAGCACTGGAAGCGGAGGGCAAATCCAAGTGTGGCAGATGGTTTCCTGTCCAGCAAGGCAAACCTGTGAAGCAGCCAGCTTTCCCCCACCCCTTCCTCTCCTGCTGTATTCTTAGCTTGTGACCTTGAGGGCAGAGATGGTCCAATTATTGATGCTTGTGAGCCAATGCGGGAGCATTTTGCTTCAAGAGCAGGATAAAAAGGAGTGGAACAGAGGCAGGATTTGAAACAGAGCACTTTGCCCTCTTATACACCTTGGCCATTCTCTCCTGAGCTGGGAAGGTGGGGAAGTCCTCTTTCAACCCTCTTGAAGCATCCTGTGGACACTACTGAGGAAGAGCTTCCTGCCATCTCCTATTATGGACTTCAGTAGCTGAACCCCTTGCGGGAGCCAAGATAAAGGCAAAGCGGAATGAAGCCTTCGTGCATGAGGGGTTACTGAAAAGGTTAAAGACACTGCTGTGCAGAAGCAAGGCGTCTACATGCTGAAAAGCACACAGACCACATTTAACAAGTTTCTAGCTCTTGTGACATCATCTCTGAAGGCCAAGGAGGGATCCAAATATGATTTTCAATATGGGTAAAGATAAGCATTGCAGGTTCTTGATAAGCTGAAATGGAGCAGAATAGCACATTTGCAAGACGCTTGTGACACAGGATTCAACCTTCCAGTGGTAACATTTTAAGAGGAAATTCTTGCATTTCCGATTGTCCAGGTGCAAAACTTTGGATCTCTTAAGCCTACTAGAACATTCAAAGCCTCTGAAATCAGACTAAAAACAGGGCCCCCCTGGGTTTTTTTTTCCTTTTTTAAAAATGAAGTTCCTAGTTCTCAAGCCAGCTTTCAAAGCATGTGGACAATTCCTGGTGAGTTCTGACAAGGTCAGGAGTAGGTGGAAGAGAGAGACTAGAACCCCCGGCATTCGGTTCCACAGTGGCTCATTTATTTGTCAGCTCTTGTTTTATTTTATAAACTCTTATTTATTGTTAGCTCTTTATTAGCTCTTGTTTCCCATCCTGAACTTTGCAAGCACAGGGCTCTTTGAGGGAAAGCCTATTTAAGCTGGTTTAAATGGCCAAACTATTGTCATGCAGAGCAATTAACTTTAGGCCTCCTTGCTATACACAACCTCCAGAAAGATTAAATCTTACATTACCTGTGCTTGTAGAAAGCCATTTTTCTGCAGATACAAATCACTTGGGGAAAACTTTCAGCCAAACAGAGGTCTTTTCATATGCAGCATTTGCCTTGCCTGAAGCTTTTTTGCCTGGGGTAACAAAATGACTCCACATACAACTACTGCTAGGTTTCATTTAAATGCAGGATTAAGAAGTGCAGGCGAGGCTGCTGCATACAAAGTCTGGATTCTTTCACATCATTCTGCACCCTTTCCCTGCCCAGGAAAGAAGAGAGACTGATTGAAGCAGTAGTCGTTTCATCAATAAATCAATTTATTTAAAAGAATATGTTACAATTAGTTACACTAATTGACTTTTACCAAACAAATTTTAGAGTTGTTAGCTCTAAAGAAAAATGAAGAATGCAACACTGCTGAAAATGTTTTTTTTTTGTTTTCAATCTTTTCTTTCCCCCATCTATTTTTCTTTCTTTTTCACATTTAGAACTGCAAATAAAAACACAAGATACTGCAATGAAAATTACAAGAGATCTCTCAAATAAATTAAAAAGCGAGAGACAGACACAGACAGACATACGCATGGCGTCAGAGAACTTGGAGATCGTAAGAATTACTGGCCCAAGCCAATAAAAGTGTTGTTTGTTTTTTTTTAATGAAGAGGGAATCCAGGGCAGGTGGAGAAAAGTTTGCAGCCTAATTTTTGATGGCAGACTGTTGGATTAAAGCCACCCACAATTCCTCTTCATGAAAGGAAAAAGGGGGCAACCCAAAAGCTGTTTCTCTCCACGAGCTGCTGTTAGTTTGAGGAAGGGGCTGTTGCTTTATTTTGTCTAGAAAAAGCTTCATCCCAGGGGTGGGTGTGGGGGGAAGAGGCGGTCGGTCCGTCGCACACATACAGAACTGGTAGGGGGAGTGGGTGTCACCAGCGCTACATGCCGCCGGTACTGTTTGCTTGGAAATATGGAATTGCAACACATGCAGAGAAATTCAAGCGTTACCCTCAACTAGGGCAGGGACAGACCTCAACCAACAGCTGAGTAAGACTTGAAACAGAAACGTAGAATTGGAAAGAACAGAGTTTCGAAAACGCACGAGGTTGGCTAAGACCGAATTGGACCAAGGGTCCATTTGGCGCAGTGTGTGACCAGCAGTGGCTTCTCAGGGTCTTTTGGGCGCCGTCCCGACCCTCTTGCCCAAACCCGTCTCTAAAAAGCAGAGAGACCAAACCTTCTCCCCCCGGAGTGCATGCTGCCTTGCTGAAGGCCGTTCCCCTTCCTGCACAAAGACTGGCAGGCTGTTCCTGGAGGTTTTGGCAAGATGCTGGCTGCTAGTACCACCCCGAAAGGCATCCTCCTTGGCAGGGTAGCCACCAAAGCAGCCGGGACACAGGCAGCTTGCAAAGCAAGTCTCTCTTCTCCTGGTCCCGGGCAAGGATTCTTTTATTTGCCTCAGCTCACATCTTCCCCTCTTCCAGGTTCAAGGTAGGTTAATGAACACGACTGATTTGGCAGGGGAGCCTAGCATTCAGCGTTCCAAGAATCTCAGCTTTTCTTCTTCAAATAGAAAAATAAAATAAAGTAAGGTGCTAGTTTTCAAGGCTAAGAAAAAAAATTGAACAAGCTCAAACACCGGATGAAGTGCCAGAAGCTCTCGGGCTGCATTCCAGCAGTGGATGGGATCCGAGCCAAGGTGGGGCAGGGGCAAAATGCCGCTATATTTAGCCTATAGCTCTCCCTGTCAGGAATTAAATTTTCAGGAGGCAATTAAAATTCGAGGGGCAGGGGGACAGCCGCTGAGAAAAGACCAGAAAACCAGCAATCGGGGAAAGGGCTGCAGGTGGTGGGGGTAACTGCAGATTTGGCTCACAGGCCTACGGGGGAAAGGAGACTGGCTTTATCCCATCCTGGCTTCAAGAATCCTTTAAAGAGAGGTGATTAATGGACATCTGCAGCCAAAATGTGAGCTCTGACACTCGGAAACAGGAAAGGGCGGAGGGCGGCTTGCCTGCGTGCTGCGAGCCCCTCGTTGGCTAGTTGCTGGACAGAATGAGGGACTCGCCAGGCCTTTGATCTGGCCCAGTGCTTCTTTCTCAGGCTTCTCTGTCCTTTGGCATCACGCTGGCACCAGACATGGTCTGGAAATGTTGCCGGAGGGGGGCTGCGTGTTACCTTGCGTCTACCCCGCGGTGTTTGCCTAAAACTTTCCAGCAGAGCTGCATGACGGCATAGGAGGTTTATCCAGTACGGGCCGCGAAGAAGAGCCTCTCCATCCATTCCAGGTTCTGATTATTCAGATTAGGAGATACACCAAGCGGAATGGTTCTACGAACACACACACAAACTCTGACTCATTTAAAGTCCTGCTCAGCTTCTGTTGCCAGCAGGGATGGCTTTGTGAGTAATCCTTCAATTTCGAGGAGGAGGAGGACGCGGCGTCACGAGCTCGGAAATGAAGCAGCATGAAAGGCAGCCCTAAAGGATGCCTTTTTAAAGTCCGCACATGTTGGAGGAAAAGCAGGGGCTGGGTCCAGCCAGAGAAGAGGCAAAATCTGTGCAGCGATCCAACAGCAATAAATGCACAAGACATTCAGGTCTCCACACTGCAGAATGAATTTAATCCGGATGGCAAGAGTGATTAGCAAGGGGCAAATCTTGCCTGAGGCAAGGAACTGGAATCACTATTGCCTTTTCCAGTCAGACACCTCACACTTCCTGGGGAATAACCGAGATGCAAAGTATATTTCTGGAGGCCAACCAGAGGGGCTTTTCAGCACATACCTGATGCAAAATGTCACCTTCCATACCAGTTAAGGAAGGACGGGCCAGGCCACTTTGGGGGTGGGGGGAGTACGTGGGAGCATTCTCTCCAAGCGGATTTGGCCATCTGCCTAGGCTCCTGAGAAACATTTTAATTCCCTAGAGCATCGGACTTGGCTGCAAAATCCCTCCACTACTGTGGCAGGAAGGTGCGGCTAGAATTCTTCTTCCTAGCTAGCACCTTTCAGTGTGCAGAGGGGGAAATTCTCTCCCTCTCTCTCTCACACACACACGCACGCACGCGTGCACAGTAGGGGGATCATGGCTACAATGCCCGGCAAGGGGCTTCCTAGAAATGGCTAAGTGGCCACACAGTCCGAAATGGGACTCAGAGTGAGAATCTGGGCAACTGAGCTGTTTAGGAAAGGAGAGGAAGGTGTGCACTTCCAGGCCTGCCTCCCTACAAACCCTCTTCCTCCTCCCCCGGAAAGGATTCTGTCTTGATGAACCGTGGGTCCCCATCAGAAAGCTACTTCAGGATGGATGCCAGGTAAACAGAAGGGAAACAAGAGAGGACGTACTAACCCCAGGAAACCCAAAACCAGTCTTTTTGGCAAGTGGGTAGCCAGTCGTTGTTCCAGGTATGGGACTGCCTCTAAAGGACATCCTTGTGTGTACTTATCCTGCTCCAACGACTTAACATGGAGAGGTATTTATGTATAACGGGAGCTGCCCATCAAGAAACCCGCAGGGCGCCCTGGAGGCAGCCAGCCATGCAGGAGCAGAAGGCCTGCCTTGACCCAACCACCAACACTTCTGACACTGCTGCATTTTACACCTGTGTTTTAAAAAACGCACAACACCCGGAGAGCAGTCGCTTGGCGCTTCAAGCCACATAGTGCTGAAGTAAAGCCAAGCTGGTTTTCTCTCACTGGATTCAGACATTCCAAACTGCTCGGGTCCGATCAGCACCCAGGAAAGGAGGTCAAAATGATCTGGTTCAACATGGCACAATCACACTGAATTTTGGCAACCGAGATTGGATCTGGGAGACATTCAAGCAGGCTAGAAAATAGTCCCAATACCTTCAGTGTTGGAAATAAGACTAGAAGGGAGTGAGAGAAAGATACTGTTGCTGGGCAGTGGGAGGAAGACAACACTCAAAGCGAAGGACCATTAATATGGGGGATAGAATTCCTTCTTATTTTGAAGTTTACTGGCCAGGTGAGATTGTGTTTCCCCCGAGCTGTGCATGAGCCGCCCGCCTGTCATCAATGATTTCCCAGAGGGTCATTTATGCTGTCATTGACCCTTAAGTAGCAAAGCCAAGGAGCAAAGTCTCTAGGACATCAGACAAGAGCAGTTAGGCCTCCAAGTCTACAAAACCCCATATCCATGCCAATTAGTATAGAGAGGACTAAGCTTAGTCAGTTGATGGCGGCCCTGAGCATTCCAACAATTGAATCTGTGCAGGAAGACTTCCCAATGGCCCCCCCCCCCCCGCCCAGCATCTCAGAGCTGCTCACATCAGCCAACAGGGTGACCGCTAAGCCAAGGAATCTTCTCCCATCATAATCCATGGAGCTTCTGCTGTCCTAAATGTTCGCTGCAAATCTTACAGGAGTGCAGTCCCTGAATGTGGGTGCGTTAGTATGAAACTGCGAGTATTTTCCATGTCACCTCCATCTGTGACAGATACCTCTGAAAACATCCCGACAATCACAAGATCGCTTGGGGTTTTCCTTTGCCACAGCCAAGAACACTAGAATTGCGTGTTCACTTCTCTTTCCCCCATCTTTTGGTTAGTGCTCCTGTGTGCTCCTCACACTCTCACGGCCAATGCGTCTTGGCCCCAGAATCCCGGACCTGCACCTTCCCCAGATATCGTACAACACCCAAAAAGAAATAGGTTAACTTACTGAAAGTCCAGCAAACAGATCCTTAACTCAGTGTTTTCTAGCTCGTCTCCAGCTGCCTGTAGTTACTCAGTGTGGCTGTCTGCTCAAAGTACTCACTCTGTTAATGGCTGCACAAAACCATTGTGGAAGGAAGCGCACAATGCTGAAAAGCAGAGGTGAGAGGCAGGGGTTTCTTTGAATGACAGATCGGCTGGGAAAAGGCGCTTTTAAAAGGGCGGGGACAGGGGACGAGGACAAACAGAAGCATTGCTGCAGGGGTGGGAGGTATCCTGGCAAGAGCAGCAAAGAGGAAGGAAGGGTTTTCCATAGACAACGTCCATCTCACCCCATCTAGATTCAAACTATTCATTAAAAGCCTCTTTGCTTCTGCCATTACCTGCTCACTGAAAGCCACCCCGCACTGTCCCTTCCCTTTATGCTTGGCCGTTTAGAAAACCAGTGTCTTTCATTCTATGCATGGCACCTGGTTAACTAACGTAGATAATCTGGGACACACCTGAGGTGGCTGGGGGAACCGAACTGGCAGGGTGGCGAGAGCATTCACTAAGACATTCCTCTGCGGCCCAGCTCAAAGTACTCTGGTGCCTTCTTCACCAGCAAAACGCGCACAGAGAGGAAGGGGCTGCACGGGCTGCCTCGCCACTGGTCCATTTAGCACCGCCTTGTCGTCTCCACTCGCTCGCAGCTGCTTTCTGGGCTCCGGATTTCCCCCACCGCAGTCCAAGAAACTTGGGGTTGGGTTGGGGGCTTCCTGCTGCTGAGCTACGGTCCTTCCCGGAGCGGGCTGCGTGCTTGGCTCGTGCAGGCACACGAACAAGGGCGAGCGCCTCGAGTCACACCACACGCATGCGAACGGCATTGGCACGGTGGGATGTGCTGATGGTCGCTGGCCTGGATGGCCCCGGAAGGGCGTGAAAGACGCCCGCGGTGGCGGATGGGGAACCGCCCAGGGCACAGCTGTGGTGGGGCGCTTCCAAGTTCAGCAGCCCACGACAGCAAGCCCCGGGTGCCCCGATTCTGTGGCTCCTGGAGGCGCCAGGGAGGGAAAGGAGGCGTTAGCTAGTCCAGCCTTAGTCTGATCCAGCAAGACGCAGCTCATGCTTTTACCTGGTCTTGATATATAAGAGAAGCCAGGCAGGATCGGAGCAAAACTCCATCTGGCCCAGCACTCTGTGGCACGCCAGCCGGGCACAGCAACCCTCGAGGAGGAGGAGGACGGGTCCAAGACCTCCTCCTGCCCACACTCCTCGGCAACTGTGGCAAGCAGGCCCGCTGCCCCTGGTCAAGGAGGCAGCACACGGCCGGCAAGGCTGGTAGTCACAGCCAGCCTCCTCCCTCGTGGACCCATCCAATCCCTCTTCTAAGCCACCCAGACTGGTGGCCGTCACCACTTCCCGTGGCAGCTGGCACCACAGTTTAACACCGTATTGTATGAAGAAGCGCTTCCTGTCACCTGCACTAAACGTCCCACCAATCAGCTTCATGGGGTGGCCTCTGGTCCGAGGGGTACAGGAGGAACATCCCCCCTCTCCACTTTCTCCCTGCCATGCGTTAATTTAGGCACCTGTCATGTTTCCCCTTACTTGCCTTTTTCCTAAGCTAAACAGTCCCAGTTGCTGTAGCTGCTGCACAGAGGGGAGTCGCTCCGGCCCCTTGACCATTTCTCCTGCCCTTCTCTGCACATCCTCACGTCATCAGCCTGTTTATGGGGAGAAAAATTCTCTCTCTCCTCCACCTTTCACCCAGAAACCAACTTTGAAAATCCATGAATGTGAAAACAAAAAGCTGTAATGCCAGATGGGGAAACAGGAGTTATAAATCCAGAAGATGTGAGGTGGCCAGAGCTGAAAGGAAATTTTGCACTTCTGAAAAACTGAAGTCTTGAATTGAAGTTTTCCCCTTGCACAAACTCACAGCTGGGATATTTTGATTCAGACCGAATCAAACATTCTTGTCAAAGTGCTGACTTTTCAAAGTTCCCCCGCCCTGCCCTGCAGCCTCCAAAACGGAGTGAAGTTCATCCTATTTTTACAAATTTCTTTAAAGATTTCATAATTTGGTTTCAATTTTGATGGTGTTCAAAATTTGTTTCAGCTCCAGTGAATTCCTACACACAAGAAGAAGTGTTTGCTTTCTTTCCTCCTCCCTTGTTCCAGAAGATTTTTACAAAAACACCACCACAACCAATCCAGGAGGAAGGACACTTCCATGTAGAAATACAAGCGCTCCAAAGGTAACAGCCGTTGATATGAAAATTATATATATGTATATACGTGCGTGATAGTTTGTATATATATATTTTTACATACATACATATATATGTCCAAACAGTGCAAATGGATGTACATTTCTATATCCAGTTGTAAAAAAAGGGAAAAAATTCCCTCAGCATAGTCCATCTTTGAACAACAGGACTCCAGGAAAGGGGGCACACTAGAAAAACCAAAATTTGTGTTGGTAATAAACTGGACTCCCCATTCCCTTGTTTCCGACGGCTTTGCTGGTTCCCTGCCCCAAGTTGCTTAACATGAAATTCACAAATGGTATTAATATTTAGTTTAAGGGCTTTAATACAATAAACCATTTTCCCTCTTTCTTTCTTTCTTTTTTCCTTTTAAAAAGTGTTAATTTCTCAGGAGGGGGCGGGGAAGGGATAATACGTTTTTGTCCGAGGCGGCTCGAGGCTAAGTTGTAATGTCTCTGTGCTGTGTCCGCATCATCTGAAAGATATTCTGGAAAGAAAAATGGAGTGGGAGAAACGAGAAACAGAATTAAGATGCCGAAAGTAGCCACGTGTGACACAAAACACCTTTTGGATATTCCAAGTAGTTCCGCTGGATTTTTCATGGGCCCCTAGAAGGGAAAGGGTAACTAATGGCAGGGAAGAATGCCCACCTGCTGAGGTCAGGGGTTTTTCAGTTTTCTCTGGGCTACAGGAAGTGGCACTCCAGAGTGTAATTCCCTTCAACCCAAACTCTTAAGATACCTGCAAGGTACTTGTTGGGGAAAGCACACATACGCAAACCTCCCATCCTGGAGATCTACAGGCTGGGCTAATGGGAGGAGCGGGGGGGGGGGGGATTCCATTTTGAATCAGGTCCAGGCCTGACACATCACAGGGCGTCCTTTTCAGGGAAGCATCTCCAAACAGTATGGCAAGGAGGGACAAGTCAAACATCCAGCTAATTACCACAGAACAGACCTCTTTCCGCCCCCACACCCCTTACCTTGCTGCACATGCTGTCTTTACTACAGTTTTTGTTATCCTTGTCTGTTGCTTCTTCCTCCACCTTCATAAAAAGAATTATTTTACAACAAGTAAAAAGAAAGCAAAGGCCAGAAAAGTCCGAGCGGCTCCGCCAGACATTTCAGCTCTGGTTTAGCCCACTCAGTCACAACCCAGTTCATCAGTCTATCTAAGGAAGAAGTGAGCAAACAGAAATAGCATCCCTCTAGATCCCAGCACGGCTGCCTTAAAAAGCACACCCTTCCATTCTTGGCTCGCTCACCCCACGAGATGCGGGGCAAACATCAGCCTCTCCTGGCAAACAGCCAGGGCCTCTCTTAAGGCTCTGGAGCACATGCCTCGGAGGAGCCCCCGGAGCCTTCTGTAAAGGGCACGGATGGAAAGCACTTATCTGAAGGCATGCCGTGTCAATCGAGAATTGTGGGTCTTGGACAGCACCTGACTATGTGCCCCTAGAGCAGCACTTTCCATATTCCTGGATGACACCCAACGTGATCGCTTACCTCCTTTCGCCACTTCAGTTCACAGAACACCCGCTCAAAACACTCGTGCATGTAATTAAACTGTGGAGGAAGCAAAAGTAATCAACCTTCTGTTTTCCCACCAACCCTTCCAAGCAGATCAGGACAAAGGGCTCCCAACTGAAGTCTTTGGCGTGTTCAAACTGCCCAGCTTGCGATAGGAAGAGGACTACAGTAGCCCCGAAGAAAAGGCATCGGGGAAGTTGGAATACCAGCCACTGGGGTCCGGGCAAAACAGCCCTCCTCCCTTCCCAGGCTTCAGGGAGGTGAACGCTGCTGGCCTTGCCTGCCCCTCCGATCTGAGGTACAACTGGACGACTAATGCTAAGTCCACCCACATCTGGGGTCACACGTTCAACGGCGTTTCTCACCAAAGCAGCCGCGGCCTGGTTCTCACAGGCCTCTTGGCCGGCCTTAACCTTCCAGCCAAGAATCTCAATTCTCTCCCCTTCCGCTTCCGATTCATACGATGAGGTGACAACCCTGCAAGGCTGCGTCTTAGGAGGAGACTGGGCCACCTCTCTCTCCTCCTATAATGGGGGGCGGGGGGCGCTCACAGCCCCACTCCTTTCTAACACCCCAGGCACATCTCTGCCCATTTCTCCCTTGCTCCGAGTGTGCCCAGAAGGCTGAGGAAGCAGAAGAACTGCGCCCCAGGAGCTGCACGCGCCTTTCTCCCCCACACGAGTCACACTTACGTAAGGAGTGAAGATTTTAACCCATCGTGGCTTCTTTTCCCCTCGTGCATATTCAAAGCAGAAGGCCATGCCCTCCTCATCGGTGTCCCATCGCTGCATCTCGTCCCACTCAAAAGCTATTACCTGGTTCTGCAACGAGGGAGCGACGGCGGTCAAGAACTCCCTCCGCTTCTGCCTCCTCCCACCCAGAAGTGGCTCCCGCCCCGACAGCAGGCCTCACCCCCGTTTCGGCTCCACAACACCCACCTTTGGAGAGGAAACCACCAAAGCGGCACACTGGATTGCAAAAGCTACGGCTGTACCACAGGATTTGTGTAGCTACGCTATGACCCTGAGGGCTGTAACTCCCTTTAGAAATGGAACCTGCTTTTCTGCCCCCACGCTGCACACACACACCAGCCCCTAGGGAGAATTCGAACAAGATCACACCCTGGCAGTGGAGCGCATGTTCCGCATGCTGAACCTGAATCGTTTCCATTTAAAACACTCTCAGGTGGCAAGACAGGGAGGTGCAAGACAAGCCTGAACTGCTGAGGCATGTCGTTCAAAATCAAAATAAGGCAGCTCCGCGTGGAGGTGCAAGCGATCGCAAGGAAAGGCCATCCCACGGAAGGAAGACGGGCACACGTGTGCTTTGGCCCCCTAGCCTGGAACCCATGAGTGGAAACAGTGGGGATGCAGATTCCAGCCGAAATTTCCTCACAGAGCCAACGGTTTAAGAGTGGGGCCCAGGGTTGCTTCGGTCTCTCCTAGACTGCGGGTTTTCAAGCAAACCTGGAGGATCGGTCGCTGTAGCTGCACCCTGCACAGAGCAGGAGGGAGCTGGAACTGGGGGGCCTCCATGCACTCGCAGTGATTCGGGGCTCCCCTCCCAGCCTCGCCGACTGCAACACGCCCTTCCCAGCCGGCCCAGCCGGGGCGAAGGCTCCCCGCCCCACGGCTCCTCACCTCGAGCTGGCCTTCCTCGGTGCAGGCGTGAAGTTTAAAGTGCTTGATGCTGATGGCTGTGATCACGTGACCCTTGCGGCGCGAGTCACAAGAGCAGTGTGGAAAGATGATCTCGTTGTAACCCTCACAGGTCCGCAACATGTTCAGGTACTGGAGGGGAGAGGGCGAGCAATGAGAGAGGGTGCACACCAGGGCAGGCAGATATGGGCAATTCTGGGCAGGAATGCTCTCAAGGTTCTGTGCTCATGAGCCTTTCTCAGGGGCAAAGGCTTAAGCAGATGCAGGTCCGCCTGCCACTGTGCTGAGCCCAGCTTCCCCGCAACTTGGCACGCCAGGCATCGGCTCCGCCTTCCCTCCCTCCCTCCCTCCCTCCCGCTTGAACGTTACGACGTCTTCGTACCCCTTCGCTGCTTCCAGCAGAGCCGCAACAGGCGAGACACACAGCTCTTGGCCCAGAAGCCACCCTCTGCCTTACCATGACCATCTTCCTTTGCTCGCTGAGCTTCTGCAGTTGGTAGGACTTCTCCTCAGCTTTGATGTATCCCTTCTTCACATCATCAACAGCCTGGGCAACACAAGCAGCATTCAGGGACTGGCGGCCGGCCCGATTAAGGAGCCAAATGAGGCCAAGCGCCCCGTTCCCCCTTCGCTCTGCTTTCGGCCGCATCAGCCCACCAGCTCAGCTGCCCCACCAACGTTCAAGGTCGCTGCCAGCATCTCAGGGGGGCTGAGCTTGAGCAGTGCTCATGGGAGTGCCTGGGGTCCCCCACCCCCCGCAACTTTGCAGGGCTTTTGTTCCGTGAAGATGTTCTTGTGCTATTTTTGTGTTTGTGCAAACTTTGCAGTTACTCCAAGTCTGCCAGCACCCCCGCCCCCCCCGTGCACATGGATGGTGCTCTTTTATTTCCATATGAGCACCAGAAATAGAGGGGAAAGACAGCAGCCACTCCAATGCTTCCCGGAAGCTCACAAACAAGGCAGGAAGAGGGTGGTTGTTCCCTCACGCATTTTTGGCATGTGGCAGTATCTGTTTATCCTATTATTAAGCTGCCCGACAGCCAACATTCTCCAGGCCTCTGGAGATAAACTGCCCCTGAACATGGAGGTTTCACTGAGCTATCCCTTAATGGCCTTCTCATTCTTTGACTCTGCAAGTCAAAGGGCCTTCTAAAAGGGAGGGATCCGCACACTGCCAACTACATACCATCCCAAGCTGCAGGTGCCCACCTGGTGGAAGAAGTAGGTGACTGCCAGGTCATTGTCATTCAGAAGGACCTCTTCTTCTGTAGTAAACAGCCACTTCCTGATCGTCAGGCAGGTCCCCGGCACTGCCGAGGTGTAATTCTGCACGTAGAGTTTGTGCGGGAACTCATTGGGTGCCAGCTTCCGCACTGCGAAATGGGTGAGGAGCCCAGAAAGGGGGAAAGGTGAAGCACTGTGCCAGGCAGGCAGTGGCCAGCACAATTCCCACAGGCCCACCTCTGCCACAAAGACCTTCCGCTTCCCACCCCAGGATCGGTAAACCCCGAGCCATCTAAAGTGGTCCCAGTAGGGCTCCTTCTGGCCTCTCCTTGCTGGCAAACGTGACCTTCTAGGCCCCTTGGCGAAGGGTGGCTCATACACACGGACGGACGGTACTTCTGCCGTAAGGGTCGCAAATGATTATCAGTCAGCAACAGGGGAGTGAAGGGGTGTCATGCTGCGTCGGAGAGATTATCCCAGCAAGCTTTACCCAGAGACGGCCTGTTTTTGAATATGAGCGGGGCTAATAGCAGCAGGGTCTCTCGGCTCTCCATCTCCCTTTGGAAGGCTTCTATTCAACAGGTTCAGCTGGCCACAGCCTGGAACTGATCCCTTCCAGCAATGGCCTCAAAAGACGTGGGAAGAAAAGCCACCTCCTCCACTTCCACCAGGCTTACAGAACATTTCCATTAAGTGTCGTTCCGGGTCAGTGAGGAATGGAGATTTCCCCAGCTGCACCCTGGGGTGGGGGGGGGGGAGCACATGTTCCCCCCATTGGGAGAGAGGGCCAGATGAGGGAAGAAGCTGGAGGTGGATCCGCTGGGCTGCAGGAAAGGGCACTCAGGGTGCCCCTAGCTTCATGGGCTGGAGGTGGGCTGTGGGGTGTGACCCTCGGTTCTGTCACGCCACCCCCAGCTGCCAGCTACCTCCTCTTCCTAAACTAAACACCCCCAGTGCTTCAGTCTCCCATGACAGAGAAGGTGCTCAACAAGGTTTCTGATCAACAAACATCTTAGATGCAGAAGGCTGCCTGCAACCCAAGGGATGCCTTCGCCTGGCCCCCGTTCTTACCGAAAGAGTGATTGATCACTTCAAACAAGGCAAAGTAGTTTGCGGTTGTGCTGTCCATCCCAACTTTGGCCGCAACAGCCTGGAGAGCAGACCCAAGGGGGGAAAGGGACGAGAGGAGGAAAAAGAACAAGCATCAGGGCAGGCGCTTTCTTCCTCAGAGAACTGTTCAGTACTGGGGGGCGGGGGGCTCATGTCTAATGCTCTACTCTAGCCGTTAGGCAAAAACATTCATTCCATGGATTCGCAGCTGCAGCACCGCTCAGGATTCTACAACAGGCCTCGGAAGGGCTTCCTCCTGGTTCAGTCCCGCAAGTTCATTTGGTCAGCTCCCCTTTCAGTTCATCCAGTTTTGATTCCCAACATTAAAAGCCAGGAAGCAGGTGGAGGTGGGCGGGGAGGACAAGCAGCATCAAATGGGACCTTACACCTGCTCCTCGGCATTGCCCATTATAGGTCTCAACTCTGGCCCTGGACACAAGCAAAGGAGCCCTGCCCATCCCTGCTTATGCCAAGCAGAGGCAAGAGGCGTCTGATTCTCCCTTCTGCATGTCTGCTTCTTGGCCATGAGTACAACTAAGCGACTCGCACAAGAGAAAGGGTTCTCTTCTGTTCACATGGGGGGGGGGGGTTTCCAGGGAAGGTTAGAAAGCCCCTGGCTTGTACCTAGCCTTACACAGGAGCTGCACGCTACGGGGGGAAGGGGGCTTTATTCTGAGAGTCGGGTAGGAGAGTCAGGGCCCAGTGGAGCAGCTGAGGGGCTGCCTGCCATACCCGCTTGTATTTCTGCAGAGCCTTGCTTAATGAAATGAGAATGGGGCATTGGGGGGAGAAAAGAGGTGCAGGCTTGTTTTATTTCCTTCATTGTCAGTGCACTGCCACATTTCGGGGTCGCCCCCTCCGCCTCACCTGGTACACCTGGTCTGTGGTGCTGTTCTTTTTGACCCGAACGGTCACTGTCGTAATGTCTGGAAGGGCCACTCTGAGCTCTACATCTGACACACCATTGTAGTTCTGGGAGGCAAAGCACAGAAACGCACTGAGAAACATGAAGGGCCCCCCCGTCTCTGTGCCTGCTGCCTTCGGAAAGCAGCTTACTCGAGGCACAAGGAAATTATTCTCAACTCCCAGAAGCGCCTCAGGTAATAAAGAGAAGGAACGAACGGGAGGACTACGCAGGACGCCACAGGTCCTCATCAAGCGGTACCTCTGGCACCAGACCAGATTATTTCTGTACAATAGAGAGATCTGGGGGCTCAGGTCTGCTGAAAGGCCGTCACCTCTGGCCAGGAAAAGCCCTTAATCTCCTCACCCAATGATCCCAGATCACAAGTTGGCTGGGAGACTCACGGCACAAAATTCCAAAAGGGCTGCTGCTCTGAGATCTGACACCTGCCTGGAAAGGCTTAGGTGTGCACGCGAGGCGGCCCTTTGCACTGAGCCAGAAAACTGGCCCGTTCAGCCTATGGGGCCTTTGGCCCTACAGTTTGTAAGTTTCTGTACTGCCCTTGGGCCAGCTAGGGACTCCTCAAAGAGGCTCAAAGCATGCTGCAAGTTAGCAATATAAGCGGTGATGTGCCAAGCGATTTATAAATAGAGAACAACGTGTGTGGTGGGGGTGGGGGCAAGGTAAACAGGCAACGTTTCACAAAGCACTTAGAGAGAGACCCAGCTTTCCAAGCCTAATTTCCAAGGCCTGGCAGAGATCACAAAGCTTCGGCCGAGCAGATCTGGCCCCTCTGCGGGAGCTCCACAGAAGAGGTCCCGCTTGGCCTACTGCAGGGGAATCCTTCAGATGTCCCTGGGGCCGCCCCGGGGCGCTCCACCAGGCAACGCCTACCTCGTCGGACTCCGACAAGAACTCCTGCATGATGTCGCTCTCGCCAATGACCCGGATGGAGCACACTGCAGGGCCAAAACAAAGGACTCTGTTAACAGAACGGATGGTGGTAACAGCATCCAGGAAGCTCGTCCCCTGGGTAATTTTTTTATTTATTAGTTTTTAATTTATTTTTCAATTTAGATCCTGCCTTTTTCCTACAAAGGTCTCAAGGCAGCTTACATCATTCTCCTCCTCCATCTTATCCCCACAACAACAACCCTGTGAGGTAGGTTGGGCTGAGAGTCTGTGACTTGCCCAAAGTCACCCAGTTGGCTCCATGGCTGAGCGGGGACTCGAACCCACATCTCCTGAGTCCCAGTCCCACGCTCTTCACCACTACACCACACACTGGCTCTTTCTTGGCCATGAGGAGCTAACAGATTAATCCTGCTCCCATACCACACCGAAACACTGGCCATGAAATCCCAGAGATGGCTCAACTGAGCCGAAACACATATTTGGCCCCCAGCTATGCTACCAGGCAGAATCAGGGACTGTGGAAAGACAGAGAGGTCTGCTGCCCAGAACTGCAGAGGCCCACATCTTCTTAGCACCAGCAATAGTACAGGATCGGGCCCTCTGACTCAGTCATCCTCCCATGCCAAGTCAGAAGCCTTCGGGACTAGGGCGGCAGCGGTGGAGGCAGCTGGCCACAGTCTGAGCCCCTCCCGCAAAAGCACAAAAAGCAAAGGCTTCCAAGCACAGCTGAGACCTGATTAAATAAATATTGGTTGATATGCTGTGTGAGTTGTTTGTTTAAATGACCAAATGTACAAAAAACCTGCTTAGGAGCAAGCTCCAAATGAGTATGACGTTCTCATATCATAGCACATACTCTGCATTCTTTCAGAAGACACATTCCTCCTCCTGCTCCTCCTCATGCACCAGAAGGAATGCTTCCTCTGAGCTCATGCTGATCATCTTATATTGCAGACAATACAAGATCTGAAACCCGCCACCCAGTTTGTCAAGCTCCCTTCTAATGCAGGACTCCTTAAAGGCTGTAATGTGAATAATCACACTTTTTTTTTTTTCAATCTGCAATCCAGCATCCAAGGAAGCAGCTGATCAGCGTGAGGCCATGGCCCAGCGAACGGGCTGGCAGCGAACAAGGAGGCAGATTCCAGGCCTCAGAAACCCCATGCCTCTTTCTCCCATTAAACGAGGTGCAACTGCCTACCCTTTTCAAGGTATTCCTCAAGGCCCCGTCGCCTGGCATCCAGCTGTTGCTCTGACAGTGAGAACGGCCATTTGCCTGGCAGGCGGGGAAAAGTGAAGTTGGCAAACTCCCTCTTCAGGTTCTGATGCAAGATGGCGAATTCACGGTACCGCTTTGAACAAAGCTGCCGGCCCGCCATGTAAACATTATACACCTAGGAGAGAGACAGAAACAGAAGTAACGTTATTGTCAAGCAGAGTCCAGACTTCAAGGTTTCTGAAAAGGATAGCATCAGCTGGCTTTTTTTTACTGCAAAAGCTTTGCAGTGCAATTACTCCAGAACTAGGGCCCTGTTCCTCTAGGAAAGAAGCTGTAACATCCCAATAAAACAGATTATGGGAGAGAAGGCAGAGTGTAAGAGTTCTTTCTCCAAGATGCAACACAAATGAGAGAAATGTCTGCCTCCTTTTCTCTGTGCTTCTCAGAGGGACTCAGGAGAAATGGCATCTGGTCTCACTCGAGCAGAGGGCTAGGAAAGGGAAGATGCGGCAGGAGTCTTACGCAAAGTTGCATGCCAATGAGATGCCACCATCTCTGCTGAGTCCTTCCGTGACTTGGAAGAGGGGGAAATTCCTGTACTTGTGCAGCAGTTTGGAGAAGGACAGACTCCCGCTGTTTCTTGCCTTCGCCAGACGGCAGCAGAAACAAGAAAAGTTCCTTCCTCTCCCACTTCCTATGCCATCGATGGGAAAAGGACGCAAAGCAGAGGGTTACACCCTCGGGCAGAAGCGGGAAGGCTGACACGGCACTCATTACCCATTTGCAGCCAAATCGATTGTCTGCAGGCCTCCGGTAAGGGAGAAAGTGCTGCAAAGGCTGCTCAAGGCCACCCACCGAGAACAGAAGGCCAGGCACAGATGCTCGGGAGAAGCCCAGCCGGACTGGTACTCACCACGAACTTCTCACCATTCTGTTCCACATGCTTGTAGGTGGGGATGGAGATGGGCACGGCTTGCTTCTCCGTGTAGTCATAGAAGGACTGGCCCAGCGAGTCATCGCTCGGATCGAGGTTGTCCGCCTCGTGCGGGGGCACAGACAGCACCGTCAGGATCAGCTCCTTCTCCCCTGCGCGGATCAGGTCCACCACTTGCTTGTGAGTTGCCCCTTCGACATTCACACCATTCCTGGCAAGGAGAAGGGAAAAATATTGTTCCGGCGAAGGAGGGCCATGTGCAAGCTAAAGGCATGTTAACATTATAGCCGCTATTAGAATAAAAGCAGTGGCGGTTTAGCCACAAGTAGGGGTTCTGAGATGTGGAAGTCGGTAACGGAAGGTTGCCCAGCAGCCCTGTTTCTGGGTTGTAAGCTAAAACGCCACAATCCTTCTTTGCATATCTGAAAGCATTGATCTGGTTAACTTCATTTAAAGGATGTTTTAGAGATCAGGCTGATTTCAAACATGTTTCGCTGCACCTTGTCCAGTCTGGCTACTCAGATGCGATTCCACCTAACATGAATGCGACGGGATCCACCGATTCCTCCAAAAGTTAACGGCCTGCCTCCAGGACCGCTTCCCCAACCGCACGTACCTTTGCCCAGAGGCCACTTCCGCAAGGGCCTGAGGCCACCACTCCAGCTCAGCAACCCAAGCAGCGAAGCAGAGTTAGGAGAAAGTGTGTGGAAACGCATGTCTACTGAAAGGCACACAATGCCCCGTCTAAAAGGAAGAACCGCAGGCAGCTTGATGAAGAGGCCACAGCGCGGCGCGGCGGTGAAAAAGCCAAACGGGGCACCGGGGGTATTCGGGAAGGTACTGAAAGCAGGGATGCCAACACTGTAACTGAGCTCCAGGAATCTACAGCGGTGGCTGTGTTTCAGACACAATGCACAGAGCTTCTCTCAAAGAGGTGCAGCCAACAGCAAAGGTGCTTTCCTATGAGGAAGTACAAAAGCAAGAAGCTCTTTAGCTGAGAGGGGGCAAAGATTGTAGGAAGGATGGGCAAGGTTTATAAAATTATTAGTGATGTGGAGAGAGAGAGAGAGAGAGAGAGAGAGAGAGAGAGAGAGAGAGAGAGAGCGCGCGCGCGCGCGCGCGCGCGCGCACAAACACGATGGGGGAGGAATTTTCTCCCGATCGCAATACATTTGAGAGTCATCCAGGGAAACTGAGCAGCAGTAAGACCAAAAGAAAGTAGCACTTATATAAAGCAGAATTTGTGTAGTTTGTCATTACAACTTGCAACAACAGCCACTGCCTTAGACTGCTACAAATGGGAGCAAAAGTCTCCCAAGGATGTACCAGTCATAACTGTAACAGCCATGACATCTCAGTGGAGCCTCCATGTTCAAGGGCATTATATCCCTGATGCTGGTGAGAGCTAACTGGAGAGCACCGTCCCTTTAACATGCAAGTTGTTAGCCCAATTGCTGCTATTAAGAAAAATTGTCTGCCTGACTGGAGAGATTTCTGGTCCAGCTCTTCCATTGCTCAGTAAAGGTTAGGGACTTGAAGCACAAGCCTGTCCCATCCCAGCCAAAGTGCACACATGTTTAGAAGGAAATTATTTCCAAACAAAGCTATACAGAAAGGGCAACTTTCTGACTCTCAACACAAACCACAATGGAGAACTCCCCTCTCAAGAGACTTCTAGTTGCGGAAAACAATGCCTTAAAGTACAAAGGCCTGGATGGGACCCACTTCTGTGAGCATGCAACAAACCGGGAAATCAAAGGAAAGGCTCCATGGGGAGCTCGAGAGACTTGAAAAGAAAAGAAAAAGAAAGAGGATTAGGGGCCTGTATTTTACAGCAATACCTCCTCATGAGGAGGTGCATGACCTCGTTACATAGGCACAAACACAAGTCCACATGCGCAATGCCAGGCAAGATGGCCCTTCTCAGCCCCACATAACAGCCTTCCCTGACCTGGAAAGCCAGTGGAGGAGGGAGGTCAACAAAGGCTAGTGTTTGTCTTCAAAGGCTAATGTCTGCCAGCGTGCCGGACACACGGCCTCATCGGAGCTCTTACCGTTCTCTGAGGATAAACACCGGCTCCTCTGCCCAAAACAAGCAACATTTAGCCACATGCCCTTGGTCAGCGGGACTGCACAGCCTTTTGGGACGGAGGCAGGCATCTCAAGCATCCTCCTGTTTATGCAACAGTTCAAAAGTGGTGGGATTTTTCTAACTGGACAATTTCTGCTAGAAATAAGTAGCAAGACGCAAGCCAGGCGCAGGCCTCATCCTCAACTCTCATCTATTAAACCCAAGTTTCTAGGCAGCTTCCACGGTAGCTTAATTTTTCCTGGAACAATTGATTCTTCCCTTTTGTAATACAACATGTTCTGGGGTCACTTGGTCTGGAAAAGCAATTAAGTCCCATTAGGTTTACAAACAACCTGCTCCTGGTGGAGACGAGCATCACTAGAAACAGTTTATTTATACAGCCTGCCTGAATCTTCGAATTATCTCCAGGAGTGCAGCTGTGGAGACTGTCCGGATGAAGGCCTGCATATGTCAAAGGGGACCACTCTACCTCTGCTTGAGATGCCGAGGCACCCAGAGTGCAGGAGACCTTGCAATGAGTCCCTCAAGTACCTCGGCTCTTGGCGTGGCTTTTTCTGCAAACGCGCACCAATGTCCTCGGCCGGAAGCAACCTGAAATGTCAGGTGAATGTGGGCAAAGAGTCACGCAATGTACTCCAGAGTCACCTCATGTCAGGGCAAAGATGAAAGCCACACGTAAGTGCAGTGGAGGGACTGCTTCCGGAAGCGCCCTTGCCGTGCTGAATGCAGCTGAAGCAGGGGGCAGCCCTAGCCAAGGAAATGGGTGCAACGCCGAGAATGCAGGCAGGTCCGCCGGAACGACAGCACACTTGCGGCGTGCACAGCAGCCCCACAGCCACTGTGTCACCACGGAGGCAGTGGCTGGCCCTGCTGCCAATCCAGACCATCAGTCCAAGTCCCCCGTGACTCTTCCTCGGGTGCTACTGTGGGACTGAAAGGTGGTGATAACCTGGTGGGGTGGGGGGGCAGAGGAAGATACTTGACTGCAAAGCCAAGGGCTGTGCATCCAACCCTGCAGGCCAAAACTGGGAGCGTCCTGCGGAGGGGAGAGGCCGCCAGCAGCTGCATCGTCGCCCTGCCCGGATGACTCGATTGTTTGGGGGTGGTTGCACTTCATGGCTCCTTCTCCTTTCTTTTTAATCAGGGAGTCGCCTTGCTCTGTATCTCAGGGAGTCTTCCTGTTTCTGGCTCCGGGAGCTGGATCAGTTATTTTCCACAAGGAGCCACTTGTTGCTCAGCAGAGACCTGCCCAATCCCCGGGGAGGGCTGTTTGGGGAGGAGGCGCTCCAAACTGGTCCCCGGCCAGCCCAAGGCTTTGCTTGCAAAGAAGATGGGTGGACGTTTATGCACGGGTAGCGCAGGAGAATGCTGGGCTTGGACACAGTGCCCCAGAATGCAAAGCTGTAGCTATCCCGCTGAAGGGGAAGGGGAAGCGGGGAAAGGGAAGCGGGACAGGGCTCCAGGAATGCGTGCCGCACCAGGGAAGCACGCTGCCTCTGCTCCTACGGACAGATCCAGGATGTACAAGACAAGCAGATTTCAATTTAACGAGCCTCATAAAGATGTCTGGCCATGGCAGGAAAGCATCAAGCCCAGGCCTGATGCCCTGCCAACTAACTACTTCTTCTGGGACAACAGGCTGACGGCAATCCAAGTAATGCAGCACCGCACACAGAAGGGATGGCTCGCTTTGCTCCTCTCTTGCCGGCGTGTGGTTTTATCTTGTCAAATTAAGGACTCAACGCCACAAGCAAAATACAGTCCCCGTTCTGGTCGGTCCCCTGGTTTCTAGACCTCACTGGAATTTCTAAAGGACAGTGCTGAAGAGAACGGGAGGGAGGGCCCCGAGAAATGAAAAGGAGAAGAAAAACATCAAAGTCGACTGTTTAAAACTGGTTTATAGAATATAAAGTGCTGTTCAGCTGTACACTATATAATTTAATTGTTCCCGGTCTGAAGGTGAAACTCGAAAATGTGACCGTGAGAACTAAAAAGTGTGGGCGTTAAAAAAATTAAAGCTTCAAGGGGCTGGCTCATGGCTTAGGGCAGGACAGGGCAGCCTCAGGCCCCTGGGCCATTTCTGACCCTCAGACGTTCCCTATGTTGTCCCCCCACCCCCGTTTCTCCCAGCCACCTGTTAGATGGTTTCCTGGCTTTGGGGCAGTTTTTCCTCCCACAAAGTAAAATGTAGAAATGCCTCACTTACGAATTAGTAACTGGGAGAAAGGGGTTAAAATTAAAATATGCTGGTCTCCCATCTTTTCCTTTGGCCTCTTGTGCATTCAGCCCCACTTGCCACTGAAATTTGGCCCCTGAGAGCATCCCTGAAAAGGAATTTAGTTCTTGGGCTGAAAAAAGGCTCCTCATCCCTGGTTTAAAGGCTAACAAATACGATTTAGGAATATTCTAACACAAGCTTTTCACAGTAACTCTGCCTCCAGTATCCTCTGCATTCATGAACACAATTTGCCCATGATGTACAAAGATGACAGTTCATCTAACCCACCATCTTGTCCAGGCTTCTGAGAAGCTCACAAGCCAGGACACAAACACAATAACCACTCCCTGTGGGTTGATTGCTGGTGGCAAAGAATTAGAAGTACTACCAATGCAACTTCCTAGAGGCATTCTGCATTTAGCAGCACGGGAAATTTAAGAAGCTGCAGTATCCTTCGGGGCTTTAAAAGCAAAAGTGAAATTAACTGCAGCAGAAATGGACCAAAACAGTCAGCAGTAAGTGCGGACACAAGGGCTCTAACCCTCAGGAAGCTTCCACTCAAAATCCACTACCCTCCCCTGTTTTTCCCAGTCGTTCATTGCTATGACTGAATAATTATATCTACATGACAAGAATGTGAGCACACAGACATTGTTTAAATGTCTGCAGAATGCCCTGAACTGTGGAATATTTGGATCATATTCACAGTCTTCAAGTCCTGTATGGGAAATGGGAAACAAGGTACAATTCCTACTTGCTTGAATTTAATCTTTAACCACCAGCCTTGAACAAGCCGGAAAAAGTCAAGATTTCAGTCCTAAGCTTATTTACTCAGGAGTGATCCTTACCTAGATGCATAGGGGCTTATGCAAAAGGACTCCCACCCTAAGCAGGCTGAAAT